CCCTAAACCCTCAACCCTAAACCCTAAACCCTAGGGCCTTCATCGTTGGAAACAGGCTCCACAAGAGCGCTCCGGGCCCAAAAAGCATTGAGGTTATAGGACAGGAATTAGGTTTCCTCGAAGGATTCCCAAAGAAACGGGGTCTATAAGCATAATTGCGAGGTTTCCTACAAGGGGTCTACTATTGTTGGTATAACCTTGAGTTTGACATGGCATGACCTAAACGTCAGGCCGGAACACGGAACGCCCTTTTCGTACCTGTATAAGAATAATAGTATATGCCTTGGCCTCAAAGTACCTGTATGAGAATCTCTGTCAGGCCGAAGTATATCTGCTATATAGGTACGTTGGACGCTATAGAACCCACAGCAAACCCCGCAGGGCCCTCTATCAATAGAACCCCAAGAGGAAATCCTGAAGCAACCCTTAAAGGAATGTGTATAGTGGATCCCAAACTCTAGCCCTCAAAAAGCGAGACCTTGCCCCAGAGCCCAAACCCGATTCTAGATATTACGCTCTCCATAATACACCCTAAACCTGAAATCCCTGGCAGAACCCTTAAAGCCCCTAAACCCTAAACCCTAAACCTGAAATCCCTGGCAGAACCCTTAAAGTCCCTAAACCCTAAACCTCAAATCCGTTGCAGAACCCTTAAAGCCCCTAAACCCTAAACCCTAAACCTGAAATCCCTGGCAGAACCCTTAAAGCCCCTAAACCCTAAACCTCAAGTCCCTTACAGAACCCTTAAATTAAGGTCCCTAAACCCTAAACCCTAAACCTTCAATCCCTTACAGAACCCTTAAAGTCCCTAAACCCTAAACCCTAAACCTTCAATCCCTTACAGAACCCTTAAAGCCCCTAAACTCTAAACCCTAAACCCTAAATCCCTTACAGAACCCTTAAAGTCCCTAAACCCTAAACCTTCGATCCCTTACAGAACCCTTCCAGCCCTTCATTAAAGTCTCAACCCCAAGATGATGTTTCAGGCCCCTCTACCCCTCCACCGTTATAGTACCCTAGGCGTCCATGTGGGAGTTTCCGCAATCTAGGGTACCTTATTTTGGGGTCCTTATAATAAGGATCCTACTATTTAGGGTACTATCTCAGGGTCCCCTATTTTCGGAAATCGCTTAATAGTACCCTCAGGGTCCATCTACTCATATAGATACATTTGCCTTAATGTAGTTCCTATTTGGGTACTTTGGGGTCTAAGTATATGCTATATGGGCACGTGGACCCTTAGGGTTAATTATATATATATATACACATACATATATAGTGAGCCCCAGAAAGTTGGAACATGGATTTAGGATGATTTGTGCTAGGATCTAGCTGAAGGCCATGAGGATGATAAAGTCCCAACTTGTGGCTTCTACTGTAACCTCTTAGTGACCAGTACTTTAAAGGATCTTTAGGGATTAGGGTTTAGGGTTTAGAGTTTAGGGTTTAGGGTTGGGACTCAGTAGGCAACGGTATAGATACTTGAACTGGGGTTAACAGTGATGCTAAGTACAGTCACCTTACTTACATCCCTATATTAAGTATCTGAGTGCCACGAACCTTTGCCCTGAGCATCAACATAGCCCAGAAGCCTTCTATAATAGGATCTTAAAATCTTTGGGCCCAACAGCCTTAAACTATGAGTCCCTTGAGGGCAATGTAGGTGCCTTACTAATTAGAATAGGGTTTTTGCGGGTTCCTTATCATCGCTATAGTATAAGATACCCCCCAACCCCATTCTAATTATTAAGGCCCCTTTTAAGGAACCCCGCAAAGCCCTATTCTAATTTATTCAGGCCCCCATATTACCTCGTCAAACCGCAGCCGGCGGTGCCGTCGGGTTTAAGTAGCTCAAGTAAGGATCTCCAAACCTTGCAGTCCACAACCTGGCGCTTGAAGGAACCCTAAACCCCTAAATACGGTCTAGGGCAACCCTTTTAGGGTTTAGGGTTCAGGGTTTAGGGTTTAGGGTTTAAGATTTAGGGTTAAGGGTTAAGGGTTCAGGGTTTAGGGTTTAGGATTTAGACCAACACCCCAAACCCAAAGCCCCAAACCCTACACCCTAAACCAGACACCCTACACTCCAACACCCCAAACCCCTCAACCCCTGTAGATCCCTGATGGACCCCTTAGAGGAACCCTTACAGGCACCCGGAGCCCCCTAAACTCTAAACCCAAAACCCTAAACCCTAAACCCCACACCACAAAAAAGGCACGCCCCTACTAAATTCTAAAACCATACGACATCTATGGAACCCTAATGGAACCCTAAGCCCCATGCAACCCTGAAACCTACTTGGAGAGTCATGGGACTTAGTAAGTAAGGTTATAAGTCCCTTAAGTGGGGGTTACAAGTATAGTTACCTTCGTTATAACCTACTGACTAAGTCCCATGATCCTTTAAGTAACCCTAAACCCTAAACCCTAAACCCCTAAACCCTACTTACTAAGTCCCATGATCCTTTAAGTAAGCCCCAACCCCTAAACCTAAACCCCGAAGCCCCTCCTGGAGGTTGGCTCCACGGATGCTCCAGGTCTTGGAAGTCCGGCTGCTCAGGAACCCAGGAGTTTAAGGGGTTTAGGGTTTAGGGGTTTGGGGTTTTAGGGTTTAGGGTTTAGGGTTTAGGCTTTATTAGGGGTATTTCCAATAGAGCAGTTTAGGGTTTAGGGGTTTAGGGTTTAGGCTTTATTAGTGGTTTTTTCAATAGAGTAGTTTAGGGTTTTGCCTTTAATATAGGGGCCTTAACAGTTGGAGGAGGGTTTGGGGGCTCCTTTACATAGTTCCTTAAAGGGTTCTATAAAGGCCACTATATGGGTTCAGGGTTTAATACAAAGGGGGCTGAAAAATTAGACAGGGTTTTGGGGTATATGATATAATATAATAAGTTTTTAACAAGGAGCCCCCCAAAATCCTATTCTAATTATTGAGGCCCCTACATTAGGGGTTTCGGGTTTTGGGTTTAGGTGCATTTTTCAATTAGCGTTAAATCCCCTTAAGTGTTCCTTTAAGGGTTCTTGAGGGGTCTTATGAGGAGTTTGGGGGTTTAGGATGTGGGGTTTAGGAGTATTGGGTTTTGGGGTTTATGGCAGTTTATGGCGTCGAGGTTAGAGTTTAGCGTAAGGCCGTCATTTCTGTATGAGGCGTTTAGTAAAGGTATACTCCATAATACCATCTTGAGCATCCAGCTATGTTGTGCATGTGTGCATGTATACTGCTTAGATAGCCAGTGGGAGAACTTTAAACTTTTTGGCCTTATATAGTAGGTCTATCCTAAACACTTTGAACTTGTTTGGGCCTGGTTGTTGAAGAAGAGAGAGTAAGTTGCTTAATTAGGAAGTTGTGGAGTCTCGGAGAACCCAGGGTTTAGGGTTTAGCGTTTAGGGTTTAGGGTTTAGGGTTTAGGGGTTTAGGGTTTAGGGTTTTAACTCTTGAACTTTATTCAAATGATTGAGGCCCCTAAGCTCTAACTCCTCAGTCTCCTGTAGAACCCTTAGAGGGGCCCTTTACAGGAATCCTCTTCGAACTAGTACGGCCCCTATACTACCCTAGCGAGCTTCAACTATCTTCGAGTCTCTCATCTTGTGACGGAATCTACTTCAAGCTACCACATACTTAAAGGATCATGGGACTTAGTAAGTAGGCTCGTAACTAAGGTAGCTATATACTTATACCCCCGCTTAGGGGACTTTTAACCTTCCTTACTAAGTCCCATGATCCTCCAAGTAAACCCTAAATCCTAAACCCCAAAACCCTAAACCTTAAACCCTAATCTTTACTATTGAAGTGAATGTCAAAGCAACCTTCGCTCCGGAGTAGCACGGCATCTCCGTGTCCATTTGTGTCGCGGGGCAGATCACAAAGTTGGTGGAGTTTAGGGTTTAGGGTTTGGTGCTGGAAGCCTGCTCTGTCGAGCGGTTGCATGTCACTGAGTTCTTGTGTTTTTGTCTTGCGGCGTACCCCATTGGTTAGTGTCAGCTATCCCACCTCCCTTCATCCTTCCGGAACCCTAAACCCTAAACCCAAAGTACACCCTAAGTGGCCTTAAACTCTAGAGTCTCTAGAGGATGACATTCCTTAAGCTCTAGAGGATGTCATTCCTTGAGATTCCTTGAGATAGACATACTACAGGAGCCCAGAAATCCCGGCCTGCCCTACTCGACTTGTCCGCATTTCGAGTCTACAAGGGGCCTTCATTTCTTTTGCAAAGGGTTCGTTGAAAGGGATTCCAACGGTTTTAGGGTTTACGGGCCTTAATCAGTAGAATAGGGTTCATTAAGTTAAAGCCTTCGTTTTGGCATCCCTTCAAGGGGTTTAGGGTTCAGCGGCTTCAGTAGTTAGAATAGGGTTTTTGGGGTATAGTATACTATTTTATAAGTAAAAGGCCACAGGATCGTATCGGCACTTATGTAGGCCCCTATATGAGTCTCTACCCATGGTGAGCCCTCGACCAAGCTCGCGAAGTCTTACTGTCTCCAGGCTTTCACTTCGGGGCTGAGTAGGTAATCTTTGACCTGTGGGAGCCTATATACTCCTACCCTAAACCCTAAATCCTAAACCTTATAAATCCTCTAAACCCTAAAAGCCCTAAAAACCCTAAACCATAAACCCTAAACCCTAATCTGAAGCGTTAATCTGTTTTGGGCTTGGGGGGAACCCCAGCTGAATAATCTAGGGGCCTAAATAATTACCAATCGTATCTTGGGCGGTTCCGTGTTATGAATATAGCATTATGGGCCCGAAAACCATATTCTGCTAATTAAGGCCTCTATATAAGGGTGCGCTCGACTTTGCATAAGTCTAAAATCACTGAGAGAATTTCGCACATCCCCCGAACGTCCCTTTGTTCTATTGTATGTCACCACTAACAAATCCTAGTCTAACCATCAAAGCCATGTTTCAGTCGATAAACTACAAGTCCTTTAGATGCCTACATCTTGTCCTGGTGCTGGAGGCTCAAGAGTAGACTGCGTGGGAATGCGCAGACTTCCGTCTTGAAAGCATGGCGATGACCGACCGAGTCGTGGGCGAATTCATATACAGCCTGACCCGGCGACAGCAGTTCCTTGGCGTTCTTTTGGTTGGCTCTTAGGACTTTAACTTTTTGGGTTTCTATATGAACTATAGTATCCGGGCTAAAAGTTTAAGTTTTAGGAGGGGTTCAGAAGTAAGCCAAGGTTCGTCATCCGCAAGGGTCACCAAGTGAGCCTTCAAGTGGAGGGGACAGCTGCTCAGATAGCCAATGGGAGAACTTTAAGCTTTTTGGCCTTATATATTAGATCTGTCCTAAAAAGTTTGAACTTTTTGGGGCCTGGCTGTTAAAGAAGAGAGGCTGAAGCCCAATGGCCATGGGCCTGTGCAGATTGGCTCGTAGCTGAAGTACCCGAAAGCCCGGGTCGCTACTACATCAAGGCACCTTAGTTATGGTAGACGCCTAAAAGTTGGAAACCCCATAGCCTCTATCCTTAAGAGCCATATATAGGGAATCCCAGCACTATTTGGCCTTTATCCGGTTTCCAACTTTATGGGGCTTACTGTATCCAATACCCAAACCTTGAAACTTTTTGGGTTCTTTATAGTTGAGTAGCAGTCTGAAAATCCAATACCCAACCTTGAACTTTTTTGGGTTCTTTATAGTTTAGTAGCAGTCTGAAAAAATTTAAGCTTTTACTTCCCTGGCTCACTGGGCAAGTAAGGCACGGGAAGATGACACTGTGTTGGCCTTGGACGGAACGCGGGATCTGGTTCTGAAGCGCTTGGAACGAGCGGAGACTTGTCCAGAAGCTGAGTGGCTGCTACCTGTCGTGGTGGGAAGACACACCAGGCGGGTTTGGGGTTTAGGGGTTAGGGTTTAGGGTTTAGGGTTTAGGGGTTTAGGGGTTTAGGGTTTAGGGCCCCTGGTCCAGGCGGTGTGGCTTCAAGTTCCGTGGAGTTCGTCAAGTTCAGAGTGCGAGAATGGATAGTTGTTACCTGCACATCAACGCAGATTCTTGGCTTCGTTTTGCTTCATGGTGTGCTGATGACTTGCCTTGCAAAAATTTTGATTTCTAGTTTTATAGGAACCGTGGTAGTAGGCAGAACAGTGTAGACCTCATTTTCTTGTCGTCTGTAGCAGATCCCAGGATGGGGATCTTCAAGCTGGCTGTGTCGATCCCCTATCTGAAGAATCGATGTGGGAGATCCTATCCATGGACTCCCAGCGATGTGTCTGGCTGCGAAACACGTGTGTCTTGGTGCACGGAAGTCTTTCTATGTCCGAATACTGGAAGGGCTCATGGGACTTAGTAGCTGGTTTCTTATATAAGTTAACCCTAAACCCTAAACCCGGGTTACCACCCCAATTAATGAAATTGTCACCTTGCTTGGTATTAATTGTACACAGACCCCCGGAAGGATAGATCCCCTATTTCGGGACCCCAACTACTAAAGGGTAGTTTATAGCCCCTTAAGGGATCTTTGTCATCTATGTTTTGGATAGTTCCGGGGGTCTAATTATTAGGGCCTCTAAACCCTAAACCCCTATAGTACCCTTATACTAGCATCCCTTAAAGGAGCCCTTTGAAGGAGCCCTGTTGTAATTATTCAGGCCAATATATTAAGATTAGGCTTTGTGATCGTCCGAATATGGGCAGGGAAGGCCTTAGGTGGTCTTCAACAAAACAGCCAGCTTTTCTCTGTGCAATCGCCCTTGAGGGTTTAGGGTTTTGGATTTAGGGTTTAGGGTTTGGGGTTTAGGGTTTAGGGTTTGGGGTTTGGGGTTTAGGGTTAAGGGTTTGGGGGTTAGGGTTTAGGGTTTAGGGCTTAGGGCTTAGGGCTTAGGGCTTAGGGCTTAGGGCCTATGGTTTAGGATACTTTTTTAGGTTTTCGCATTACGGTTTGTATTTACAGTTCCTTAAAAAGGTAGGTCTTTTGGGTCACAGGTTTGCTATACTGCCGGGACCCATAATTCGCCTCCTTGCATCCCTCATTTAGGTAATTATTTCCATGTTGGGTCCTTTTTTTAGCAGGGTGCCATACTATTTTGGGGATTGAAAAAGGGACCCTCATTTACCGAACTATCCTTTAGGCATTCGGGGTTGTTCGAAAATTGTGGTATGGGGCTCAATAACTAGAACAGGGCTTTGGGATATGATATAGTAAGCTTTGTATTTAATTCGTCGGAAACCACAACGAATATTGAAGGTTGTTAGATCTGCCCCGATATACACTGCAACCACACCTAATTTTACTAATCAGTGAAGCCATAGAAATTACATAGCTCAGCGCATAACATGATTCATTGCACATGTATCCCAATTGAGGGGTATGGAACTATCGGGGAAGTCGATGCCTCGAAGCGCTATGTCGCTATGTATTGGAATTGTCACAGAGGCAAGGAAGAATCCTGAATTGTCTACCCGCAACTACCTTAAACTACACCCGACACCCAGCACTTGGAGGTTCATGGATAGTTATGAGTGGAGTTATAAGTAGGAGAACTATAGTTATAACCCATATTACTAGTAGGGGACTTATAACCCTACTTTTTCCCTACCCATGAACCTGCAAGCAGAAACCGCATTGAGGCCTCCCATCTTGCAAGCTTGCCTGTGAGAGTCAGACGATTACTCCGGGCTCACCTCTGGAAGCCGCGACCATGGACGCTCGGAGGGATTCGGGATTAGTAAGTA